TGGGTTATTATACAACATTTTACATTTGTACAACCAATACAACTCAATCTCAACCATTCATTTAATTTGATGAATATATGATTTCATATAAGTTTAGATTGTTTCCTTATATGAAGTATTGATCATAATTAATAAACCATATTCATCTTCCATAAATATTCAAATCATAATAAATGAACTCTCATCATTTCCATAAATATTTCAATTGATTGGGTTGCATTGGTTGTACAAATAGACATGATTGTATTTGAAATATACCCTATATATATATATATATATATATATATAACATATATGTACATAAAACAGAATATATATATATATACACACACATATAAATAGATTATACCTAAAAACAGCATGTATATACTAATATAGACATAAGAAACAGAGAAATCGTTGGAGAGAAGAGCAAAGAAGCAATGGTTGTCTGTTCGTTGGAGTCTTGGGGAGAAGAAGTAATAGAAGTTGATAAGCCTTTTTAATTTACTGATTTTGTATTGAATTGATGTATGCAGAAGAATAAGAGTTTGGGTTTCATACACTGATTCTGTTACCATAATAATATTAGGGTCTCTTAGTTTTAAAAAAAGGTTATTTATAAAGAAGAGACGCAAGCCTCTGGACCAGCCCGCCTCACCCATCAAGGCGCACGCACAATCTGGTCTCTTAGAGGCAGCGCCTCATAAACGTTTTTGGCCTGAATCGCCCTTAGGCACGCCTTAAGGCGCACGCCTCTGCCTTTTATTAAAATAGTGGTTGTGGTGACAACCATCGGGATGGAATGGGGTAAATATAAGACGGTAATAGTCTTTCTTATAAAAGCTGGGATGAAGGAATAGGAATTCCTTGCTAGAGCCCAAGGAATTTTACATTCCACCATATGTACAATTCGAATTCCTTACCAAAACTCAAAAAATGAAGCAAACGCGTGAATGGAATTTGGTCGATGAAATTGACTATGTCAATTCCTTCAAATATTGTAGGACTCCAACGAACCAAACACCACCTTAGACACTTATGGACTATGTAGATTACACATTAGGTACCATAAAGGTAAATAGTGTCGGCTTCTTAGAACAAAGACAACTACTGTTAACTCCAAATCATGTCTTAGATATTTCTTCTCATGCTTCAATTGTCGCCATCACTTTGTTGTTCTACATTATTATACAGTCTAGACCTCATTTAGTAGCATCATCATATACTATAAATCATTCGGTTCCCTTAAGGTAATGACAAGATCGGAGCACTAAGCTTTTCTTCTAAAGTTTGAAAAGCTTGCTCTTGTTCCACACCCCAATTAAACTTCTTGCATTTCTTTGTTAATGATGTAAAAGGTGCCACAATTTTATACAAGTCTTGAATGAACCTCCTGGTTAGTCCAAGAAAACTCAGAATCCCTAAGACATTCTTGGGAGATTCCCATTTCATCACTACTTCCACCTTTGTAAGGTCTACTTATATCCCATGATGATCCACACCATGCCCAAAAAATTGAACTTCCATAAACCAAAATTCACATTTAGAAAATTTTGCGACTTTTCCGTTCTTAACAGACTCAGTATCGTGTGTAGGTGTTATTTGTGTTCAGTTGCATTCTTGGAATAGATGAGAATGTCATCAATAAACATGATCACAAACTTTATCAAGATGTGGCTTAGATACACTATTCATGAGATCCATAAATGATGTTGGGGCATTTGTTAAACCAAATGACATAACCAAAAATTCATACTTCTCATATCTTGTGCAGAATGTAGTCTAATCTCTTATTTTTTGACTTTCAGTTGATGATATCCGAATCTAAGGTCGATTTTCGAGAAATACTTTACCCATTACAGTTGATCAAACAGACAATTAACCCTCAAAAGAAAATGCCTATTCTTGAATCCTCTTTTATTTAACCCTCGATAATCGATGCACATCTGTATCGTCCATCCTTCTTTTTGACAAATAGTGTCGGAGCAACCACGGTGATGTACTAGCTCAAATAAACCATTTATCTAGCAGTTCTTGCAATTGTCTCTTTAACCTGCATCTCACAGTTGGGGCTAACTGATAAGGCATCTTTGCCATCGGTGTTGATGCAAGCAGCGGTTCAATACAAATTCCACTTGCCTATGGGGAAGTATCCAGACAAGTCCTCCGCGAACACATATGGGTACTCCGAACCACTGGTTCGTCTTTAATCCTTGTCTTTTCTTGCCAAGATTCACCGCATAACTAATTTGAGTCTAACATCATTTCCTTTAATATCTCTTAGCCTTTAACGAGCTCAAGAATCCTACCTTTATTTTCTTTCACTCTCCATTTCTGCCATTCTATGTAGGTTTGGCAGTGGGTAGGGTATGGGTAGGGTAACGATTATTCCGTTAACCTGTCTGCTTAAAATAATGGGTAATGGAAACAGGTACTTATCCATCTCATATAACGCTTATCCATATCCATACCCTAACCACTAAAACAGCGGGTAACGATACGTGTAACGGATAAATGGTAACATAAGCTCATGTTGAACTACAAGTCTACAAATGATATTGTTAAACTAAGTAAAGCATAAGTTCCTAAATATAGTAATTATAGTATATCTAATTTGTCGTTGTTAACATTGTAATATTATTCTAATATAATATTCTAAAAACAACAATATAAAACTTCAAATAACACTTTCTGTTGTATTTATTTCCCCGACCCTGTTTTGTTGCTCATTTAATCATCATGAGCCCTTTTACGCGATAAATCTAAAAAGAAAATTAAACTACACATCAACATACGACAAATATGATAGCATTATAAAGAAAAATATTAATATTTAACTTTATATAATTATACATATCTATAACTTCATTTATATATATATATATAGATATATCGTAACGGGTAATGGATAACGAAAAACCGTTTATCCATGTCTTACTCCCTAAAATGTCGGATAAGCAGGTAATGAATAAGAGGATAAATAGATAAAACTTTTTTTCCTCGTACCCTTATCCAACAGGTCGAAACATAACGAGTAACGGGTAAACCTTACCCATTGCAAGCCCTACTTCTAAGGTTTTAACTTCCAATGCCAGCTTATTGCAAATTATTCTTGCCTCATGCCTTCCCAACCAATCCATACCCACAATAACATTGAAAAATCACCAAGTGTCAGAGGTACTAGATCAATTGGATTTTATGTTTGTTAATTTCTATGGCGCATTTCTCAAAAACTGCACAAATACTAGTTGACTACCATCAGAAATTTGCACTCCCAATTATAGTTTTAACTCCTTAGAGTTCATGTTCAAGAGTTGGGAAAATGTAGAAGACGCACAAGATCAGCTTGCACCGCAATCAAACAGCATATGTGCAAGTATGTTCTTAATGAGGAACGTACCTGCCATGATATCCGACACCTTCTCAGCTTCCTTTTCCGTCATCTGGAAAGCTCGGGCCTTGGCCAACCCTTTATTGACATTCCTGCGGGTTCTCATTGTTGACTCCCGAGTTATCCTTTTTAGGACAATTCCACTTTTTATGACCAGTCTCCCCACAACGAAAACATGCACCTATCTTAGACCAACATTCGCCTGGGTGGTTTTTACCACAACGGTCACATGATTTCTTCTTCACCTCGGGCCTTTCAATTCTTTGACTACTGTTTTTTGGCTTTTTGTTCCATGGCTTAGACGATCCACTATTCTTTCGTTTCACGTCATCAAACCCTTGACTTTGAGTTCCTGTATCTCTCTCCACAACCTTTTCAACATTTACAGTCTGTTGAAAAGTGCTACCACAGATCTGCACAAGACTCGAGTCTCCACGATCAACATGTTCTCTAAGAAAAAAGACATAAATAAAAGTAAAATCATGAGTTACCTATTGATCATGTTTACCACCTAATGCAACATACTAATGTATTAGGTACCGAAATCTAAGACTCTGAGGCTTGTATGCAAGTGTGATTACCTCGGAACTGCAAGTTGTTGCTCATCGCCATCAGATGGCAATCGAAATGGAAAATGAGCACAGTGTATCCTCAAGGCTGGGGAATCAAGTTTCTTGTTGTCAAACTTGTAACCTGCACAAGAACCCATTCTCCATGATCAAACCCCATGTCAAGAAATTCATAAAAAGCATGGGATTTGGTGGTTTTCTCAATGGTTTTTTGCACATATGTTTTTGTGAGTCGAATATTAGCACAATTCACAAGTTCTGCATGTCCCTACATGAAAAGCATTGGCAATCATTTTCATAATTACGTTGAAGATAGAGTGGAACCTTGAAGAGCTTCTAAAGCAGTTAAAGCACACTTGGCGTCTAGAAACTCAACAAAGCACAATACCATCGCCTTGTCCTCCGTCTGTAATTCACAATCAGGTCATATATCAAATATTTCCAGTATTTGAACAAACTTGATCGAGATTAAATATAGAAAGCAAACATGTCAAGAAATTGGCAAGACTTGCCTTTAATGCACATTACTAGAATTGCCTAGATCTACACAAACAATGTTCTCATGTAACCCAAGACCATATACACAATATGCTTTGACAACATGGTTTCACCAACGCTTCATATAACACGCTCCCGTCCTTTCGTTGCATATGCAAAAATTTCCATTTTTGAATGTCATTAAAAAAACACTATCTTTCCTATTTCAGGTAAGTTTCATTCCAAAATTACCTATTTCCTCCATTCCATTGTTAACAGAACCTCAATATCAATTATAACATCCATCCCCAAGGGATTGTAACAATTTATACTGAAAGGAAAAAATATTTCACATGCCATGATATTCCTACTTCTGCGGCTATAAATATTGTGTTTTCTAACCCATTATGGAAATTTATCTCGCTTCTTACAGAAAAGTAGACGATAATCCCAGATTGGAAAAGAAAGTTGTGTCCTCCATATCTGGACTACAAAGACTAAAGAAGGCTACAAAAAAGAAGAAACTAAAAGACCAGAATTCCTGCATGATTAAAAATGCTACAATAAGCTAATATTACATTTGTTCTACCCAATTGAACACTAAATGAAACTATAATAAGATATTGACAAAGTTACTCCACCCCCTTAATCTTATCATTCCCATGAACATCTAACTCATCTATGTACCTATTGTCTTTATTCTATTTCTGAAAATATGTGGAAATTGTAATCTTTCGCATGAAACAAGCAAGAAGTTCTTATCTAACTTTGTTTGGTCACTCAGAAATAGATTTAATATGATCAAGAAATGGATGATATGATCTTCCCCAAAATCCTAGCAATGGTCATCCATTGTGTATGGTATAACGCACTAGATGCAAGCATTTCACACAAGAGGTTAGCGACTGCTAAAATCGCTCATGATCCATGGAACCTGTGATTAAAATATGATATATTTCAAACTCTGTTTACATTTATATTATTCGAAGAAAAAGATGATTTGTAATCACTCCACAAATTCGAGCAGCAAGCACCTATTGGATATTTGTAACAACTATTGACTCACAATCAAGAAGAGATAAATCAACACCCACACAAGGTCATTTGTAACCCTAAATAAAATCCTTGGTAATATCAAATGGGTGTATGTAAGCCGCTACCTTTTGCTTGTTGACTCCTCCACATCATAGTTACCCTTGTTTGTAATACAACTCTCTTGACACTACTACGGTTGTGGATAGTGTTAGGATATGGAGTTTTGACACTTGGACTAATTTAATATAAGCTTCGTGGCATGGTGATAGTTAAGAAGGATTGGGACGAAGGTTTTGTTCAGAACTAAATGAGAATGGTGTTCATATTTATGGTGGTGGAGCATCCAAAAACTTTTTTGCCCTCTTTTCTTTTCATTTTCTTTTCTTATCAAGATTTGCATTGTACAAACAACCTTTTGCTTATGTTAAAGACAAAAACCCCTTAATCTTCCAACATGGTGAGTCCTAAAATCCATATAAGCTCGATTTTAAGTCAAATAAGACCAATTTCCCATATATGATTTTGCAACAGGTAACTTTTTGTCAGGTTTTCTAAGTAAGACACCAAAAAGAAAAGGTAAGCTTCTTATTTGTTTTGTAGTTTTTTCCTTGAGAGGGGGTTCTTTTGTAGTTCGGCAATCCTGTCTGATTTGTTCTCAAAAAACTGATGTCATTATATATCATCAAAACATAGCTAATAGAAACCAAACAAATAGTTTGTAGAAAAACGCATGCAAAGTAATCGTAATAATAAATGTTTTTATCACGAACCCACCCACAAGACCACCCAAGCCAGAAGTTCCCTTTACAGAATTCTTATACCTCTTCCCAGCCTCAATTGACCTCACAACTCTTAGCCATCAAGTATGGAACTTAAAGCACGGGGGTAAAAACTTGTGAATTTATCATAAACTCCAAATTGGGCAAAACAGGATTCGATCATGAATTAAGCTAGAATGCTTCATGTGCAAGTAAAAATGCAGTCCAGAATATTTTAAGAACAAAAAAGGCTGAAGAAACAGAATAGTAGATAGCATACTTACATGTCTTGGCTCCTTGTGCACAACCCTAACTTCTCGGAACCCAAAGAAAGGACGGAACAGATCTTTATCAATAATAAAGGAGAAATGTCCAGATAAAACCATTTATATATTAAGGGGACGATGCAAAGAACAAAGGATATTGGTTAGTGAAAAACTTAAAATTCGTAAAATAATTTTGTAAACACATTTCCTCCCTTCAAAGAACATGTATACAGATGTAAGCATTTAATTGAACAAAAAATATTAACCCTAAACAAATAAGGCCAGTTCACCTCATAGCAAAATTTTCCTTTTGAGGTGCCAATCAAGCAATATATAGATATCTTAGCTGACAATATACAGAGATTTAAAGGATAGGATACGAGATACTTCTCTTCGAGAACAATCACTCGGGAGCCCATCAACAAACAAGACATTTGATTGTCTATTTCCAACTGGGAACCCATCAACCTTCTTCAAGGAGTCGGGCCTTTCTATTATTAGGTCAGGAATGCCAGGACCGTTGCCCAGAGTTACATCTCTTCTTCCAAGCAGATATGGGTCTCCCAGAGTAGATGGATAGCCGTTAAGGCTTGCTCCACCAGTGTATCCACTAAAACCAGATTCAGAACGAACACTAATACCAACGATATCATCTGATCCATATGCGCCAGGCCGTGAAACCAAATTCTACAAGCATAGTGATTAGTTTGTTGGTCATCATCATCAAGAAACAAATGTCGACGGCTTAATATAATCATATATGCAATTCTTACATCCTTCTGCATGAAATCGGATGAGTTGCTCAATGGATCATGGGAGGCCCAAGGAGGTCGGGATGTTAACATTGATGGTTCAGATGTTAGGTAACCAGGAAAGGCAGCTGACATGGGGATGCTAACTGTTACAATGAGACAGGATTCATAGGTAATCAAAAACAGTAACTAGAACACACAGGAAAAGGTCAAAATGCCACACACCATTAAGCATTATAATTTCGATCAACAGTTGTTCTGCCATTGGCCTTTTTCAGATGACTCAGGTTTAAAACTTCAAATTGAAACATAATCAATCGAAACTACATACAAATTGTGTAGATTTAAATACCCCCAATATATTTACAGAGCAAAACAGAACAGAAAGGAGGGTGCTTCTAAGTGACAAATTAAGTGATCACGAAGTATAGCAATGCTAGCTAACTGGTCTTCTATTACTGGGTTTTCAGATTCTTTTTCCATAAGACTAGAGAAGCAAAACATGGTCAGTGTTTCACAAATTTTGAATTACATTAACCCAATGCATATTTTGTAAAGCCAATCTCAGTTAAAGCTAGGGAATTGGGGTGCTCTGAAATATATTTAGGGCAAAGACGTGAATCTTAATTCTCCTTGTCCCATTTGTAAGGATGGCTAACTCCACCAAGCATACCAGTCAAGTGATTCTTAAATATGACAGTTCCATCAAGCCCAATTTAAAGTAATTGGAGCTCTTAACGTGATTCTTCGATGAAAAACATAAAAGAACTAGGGTTTACATGGGAAAGAGGAAGAACCTCCATCAGCAGATGGTCCACATCTCCAATAAGGATCCGCCATTGTTTGCCGCCTGCCTCTTTTTCTCGTTCGGTCACACTAAGGTACCAGAAAAGACGAACGAAGGCTAAAAACCGGACCTAGTAATCCCGAGCCCGATCCGAATAAACCCTAAAATCTGTTTTGCTGGTTTCAAGCCCGGCCAAATCCAAACACTAAAAAACTCGGGGTTAAAAAGTAAGAGAGTTCAAAATACCACCAACCCGTCGAACCTAACCCGAAAAAACTTAAAAAATCTCAATCTGATATAACTCAATGCATAGTTGATATAAATTAGACCAAACCGTATTTATTGGATTGGAATTAAGTTGACGTAATTTGAACTCAACCTGATGAATCGGATGCTTTTTTTATACTACGGATTTAATATTGTTGTTAAGTCCTTGATTAATATATGTACATTAGATATTAGACCAACTCATAATTAGCTACATTCAAAATTATATTACAATTTCAACAATAATTTTACTTTCTTATTTGCATTTATTTTAATCTTTTTTTAGTTTATTAGCCTTTTTGTATGTCCTCATTTTGATTTTAATTTGTTTAAACAAAACGTTTAGCTAGATAATAAAATAATGTACCAAGATTTAACCCGACCCAACTCAAACAGTTTGGGTTGAGTTGGGTTGAGATTTTTCAAACTGCAGACATTGGGTTGTGTTGTTCAAATGTATTTAATCCGGTCAACCCAACCCATATGCATCCCTAGGTTAAAGGATCCGTTGGTATGTTCTTTGCCTCTGTAATCGTGTTAGACCCTGCTCGCCGTCTTTTCTATCTAAATATTTTAAATTAGAGCCGAGAAATAAAGATTTTGCTAAATACAAGATTCAAACCCCCGTCTTTTCAAAGAGCAAACTGTAATAAAGCGACATATACTAACCATGTTACTACTACAAACTTGTATCTTTAATTTAGTTTTAAGAAATATAAGGAGACGTTAGGAATAATAGAATGATAGCACATGCACCCCCACATCTTTATGTATGTCCAACCCTCATTCACAAGTTTTTTTTAGTAAGTTTTATACACTCACCATTTTTATACTTTTGAAGTTTTAGTAAGTATTAAACTTCTCTTGATTTTTATATTATCATTATTGAATATCATTTTTACAGTTCTCATGAGGATCTGTCATTGTTTTTGCCTGGGTTTTAGCTTCAACGTCTCTTTTTTATCGTCCAATACTGCAAGAGGTAAATTGTAGGATATGTGTAAAAGACACATGATTATTGTGGTGATAAACATGAAAATCTAATTAAATATTCTATTATAACGGTTATGAGCATCTCAATATTTGAACATTAAATGTTAAGACGTTGTATACCGAGCAAATATATTACACAACAGCTATTATCAACGCATATCATGGTTTTTGGTATGTTTAAGATATTATAATAAAATAAAGATCTTCTATTACTGATACTATCTAATGAACATGTTGAGCCAAATCTTATAATATGAAACATTTGCCATGAATAAAGAATGACAATATATTTGTAAAACTATTAATTAACGATAGTCTATTTCTATTGTATGTTGGATTGGTTATCAAAGAAAGAGTCACTACAGTATGTTTTCATTTTCATTGCACTCAAGTACGGTCTAAATTATTACACTGATAACACAGTTTCCCATATGATTCATAATTAAAAATAATCCTTATCTACCTCTTAACATTGGAATTGGAATTTGGAAGCCCAATTTCATGGATCATATATATGTCTTGTCCCCCATCTCATATCCAACTCTAATATCTTTATGAGTAAACTACAATTTTGGTCCATGTGGTTTGTCAATTGCAATAGTTTTCGTCCCTATAGTTTAGCTATTGTTATTGCAAAAAGAACGCTCGAATTTAGTCCCTCCCTCTAACGAATGTTAATAAAAACATGGTAAATGAGGAGCATTTTAGACTTTTTTCAGTTTTCTGTCAAATATGATAATCATAGACGATTATCACTTTGACTCTTTCACACATCTCCTGTAAAACCCATTTTTTTAAATATATAAATAATATTATTTGAGCCTTTAAATATATTTTTTTTAAATTTATTTGAAGTGTTAAAAATATTTACGTAATAAACTAAAAGATATAATTGTAGATATCTTAAATAAATAAATAAATAAATAATAATGAAAAGAAAGATAAAAAGAAAAATAAAATAAAATTTGTTTTCTTTTAATTATTGGACCAAAAATGTAAAATAATACGTCAGGAGGGGTCTGATGGTAAATGTCAGAA